AATATATCGAACTCATTATCTTATCAACACAGAAGAGTTAGGAATTTCATGAACTTTTGGGGATTATCATTTGGAGCCTCCGCTAATCTCACTTATACAACGCTGTGGTTGTTCCACGCCATTTTTCTGTGAGCCTGTGGTATTACTTCGGTCGAGCCAGCCCATTCGTGCTGAAGCATGGCTCTCTCACATTTGTACCAATGGATTAGATTTAAAACTGTTTCTGTTGTCTTAAATTTGTTGAACTCCTTTAAGATAATTATACTGTTGATGTACTATCAGTGTCATAAGTGCATGGATGATTCTAAATCAAAATCGTTTGTACGGCGTTTCATCGCCTTAATTATAAACCATGGACCACATAGATGGCGCTAGTATACTAGTGGTATTGAAAAATATGCATTCATAGTTTTTATCAGATACAAAGTTATTAACTTAATAAATTTTTATACAAATCAATGCTACGATATTCCAAACCTTTTTAAAGCAAAGCACGCAATAACCAGGATTCGAACTCGGTAGCATAAAATTAACCGATGCCACTAGCCATTAGGCCATTACGTAACCTTGAAATGTATTGAAATTATCCTACTCTTTATTATATTGAAGTTGTTTAGCAACTATAACCCGATCATAAATCTCAAAACAGTTGAGGGTAATTTAAAATTAACTGTATAAAAATTAAACCTTTTTGTTCAATCATAACATTCTTTACTATCTTTGAGTGAGTTCAGTCACGATTTGTTTAACAAGTTTTTAATATTTATTTTTATTATGAATTTGCGTTCAAATGTTGATATGGCTACGAGGGCCCAAATAATAGCATTGCATAATCAAAGCTTAAATTATACTGGAATTTCTAGAGAAACTGACTTAAACGTAAGTATTCTTATAAATGACCGTTTGTTATTTATTTTATTATCCATGGTTATCGATACATGAAAATAATAAATAATACACGTCCCTTACAGGTAAAGACTGCCACTTTATGGATATCTAAAGCTGTTTCAAGAAGAGGGTTCATTGGAGCAGGTCCGTAGTGGATCTGGCAGAAGACGTGATATTGACTCAGACCAGTTTCAACTTATGGGGCAAGGTTATGAGGAAAATTACTGGAGCATTGTCATCTTCAGTGATGCAAACAGTGAAAACTACATAGATGTGCTGAATGACGTCATGAAGATGTGCTAGTGATAACGTTCGTGCAGGACAATTGTCCTATGTGTAATGTTCCATAATTGTGCAAGTGTTTAGTCAGCAATCAGACATACGGATTATTCCTTGGCCAGCGAGATAGGAGAAATAGGGTCGATAAAAATGGCGGCTACACTAGTTCTTAAAAGAAAAGACATTGTTGACTATAGGATTAAGCAATTACAAGACCGGGGTAGCTATAATTTATTTAATGGATAAATGTTCAAACTTAGTGTTAGTAGGATAAATTTATTGACTACTTTATAACCAGCGACTGTTATACAGTAATGATTTTAATGTTTTACTAAATATGAGAAATAAAAATAAAAGCAATATAAATATTTACAGATGCTATTGATTGCAAAATAATAAATTATTTATTTATTAATTACTATGAACACTTCGTCCCATATCTAGTGAATGCTATATCCCGGTCTTAGAAATGTTATTGATTTAAGGTCTAGCTTCAATTTCTTCCTTGTTCTGGAACGAATACTTAAGCTATGAGCTTTTGTCATAACATGATGCACACACAAATAAATCACAAATGAATCACTTTAGTCAATACTTTAATTAAATTTTATGGGGAGGTAAAATAGTTGCAGAAGTAAGGTTGCATATTATATAGAATCGTATTATAACATTGTGATTAAAACTAACTAATAAATGACTAGCACAACACAATTTTGATTTAAAATACTTATTAATCTTATAAAAAGTGTAATAAATAATGTGTCAGTTAGCTGAAAAGTTATAAGGTAAGGGTATACACTATATAAGAAAGAAATAAATATTATGTTTTAAGAAATAAATGTCTGAAATTATAATGTCACTAAAATAGTTTTATTTGTTATCCTTTATGAGAATTAAACTTAGTATTAGTCTTAATCTGTAAGAAAAATATGTTACTTTTACATTAATAGTTAGCACATATTATAAAAGTTATTTATATATATTTATTAATATAATTTTATTCTAAAATAATATATTTATTTATTTTTGTTGTCTTTTATAAATATTAAACGTCAAATATTTTATTTTTATATTATTATTATTAATTTTATATAAAAAATATAAAAAAACCATTGCTAAAAAACCTGAATTTAAAAATGATAACCCGGAATTGAACCGGTGCCCTTCGACTTCGTTATACTATCATTCTTATTTATCCGAGCTACCGATCGCATTTTTAAAGATATCGAAAATGCGGGTTAGTTTATAACTTTTATTATTGTCTATTATTAATTATTGACGCCATCTTTTAATTGGTTTGCTTGACTTGACTTAGATGGCGCTATATTAAGTCCTCGAAAATGTGAAAATTAACATAATTTATGTGTATTTGAATATAAATATATTATTGTTTCTTAATTATTATTTTAACCATTAAAAACCTTATTGTGTGCCTCTGCAGTGTAAAGTATTCAAGCTTTGCAGGGTTATTTTCATTTAAAAGCAGCGCCATCTAGTTATCAATGGTAGCGTTATGCAAAACCTGTCAGTCAATAGTCGACCTTAAGCTCTCCATGCATTTTTGTCACCCTTAGTACATGACAATAATGGGGCGTCCAGTAATTTATTATTTTATTAAAAAAGCCCAACAAATTTACGTGTTGAAGTTAGCAATTACCTTGTTTATCTTTAATAGTAGTATGGCTAACAATGGCCGAATAATTTTAATTCGTAAATTGAACATTTTCAAAATTCAAATATTCCAACATGCCTGGATTCATGCTAGCCATTACCTACATATTCTTTTAAAAACTATCTATTCAAATTTTTTCTTTACAACTTTTAGCAAGTTTTTTCTAAAGAAACTTCTGTTGTATGCTAAGCTAAGCATTTTTCCCGACCTACGTAGATACGTACTAAGCCACTTCTGAACACTTTACATCCCCAACTAAAGTTACACAAAGACTCTGTCACTTTAAGATTGTATCCCCTCGGATGAGGAGAATTTAAAATTTACAACTGCTTACAGAAATTTGTTAGCAGCGAAATATTTTAAGGATTCCCTTAGTATTAAAAGAACTATAACTAGAATACACATATATTTTTAAATGTGGAAATGCACGGATGGGCCGACGCGACCAGAGTATAGTTGACCACGGCATCACAGAATACGGGAGTGCTAAATCAACCAAACACGTCGTGTTTTACCGAGCGAGTGGAGTTACCGAAGCCCTAATTCCTCCCCCGCTTAATGTCCAAGTCCCTTATTCTTACAAAGATGTCTGCTGGTTTACCAACTTGTACCATAAAAAATACAAAAGTTGTTTCTACCTTTTGGAGAATAATTTTATTTAATACTAGCAGCACGGGTCTCATCATCTTGCTAACGATAAAGGGACCCTATAATCCAACTCACCCTTCGACTTTTCTAAAATATTCTGTCATCAGAACTTTCTCCTGACAATAACACACATAACAAAAAAGAATCGGTAGAATTGGTCCAGGCGTTATTGAGTTATGCGCTCACCAACATATTTTGCGATTCACACACGAACACAATATTCTAATCACAATTATATTAATCGCAAGTGACTAAAGGTAAAACATGAATAACGAAGTAGTTGATTAAATATTCATTAGATATTTATTATTCTATCCATTTCAGTAACTCCGGTATAAACAACAGATTGAAGGCTTAACTCATTATTATATTTACTTAACTTGATGGGTGATTAACAACTGTTTTATTCTGAGATAAAATTATAATATACCTAACTGTTATGGGCATATTTTTGGGCATTGACTGCTCTGTTTTTTTTCTCCAACCAAAATTTTTACATTCATCACATTCTCATTAAAATGTTACATTTAACAATTTCATTTATGTTCCAAATATTACCCTACCCCTACATACACTACAGACACTACGGGCGTCGGGGATCAAGGGACGATCTCCGGCCACCGTAAGCACGGGTCTGCGGTCGGCGAGTAAGGGCAGCTCGCTGCCCGACCAGAACCAGGCCCGAGCGTATGGCGCGTAGCGTTCCGCGCGCGCCTCAAAGAGCCAATAGACCACCACAGACGGGGCCCTATAGGACTGATGTTCAGCCGGGGTTGCGGGGTAAGCGCAATGAGGCACCGCGACCTCGGCCCAGAGCTGAAAAAGGAACAAGGGGGTTTTTAGTCAGTAAGTCTGACATTTCCTCCCGCCCGGCCCTGGGCGGGAGAAGTCATTTGATGATTTTCACCTTACAAAAAAAAACCCTACATACAAACTTACAAAATTACCTCTTTATAATATTAGTATAGACTAGCTTATGCCAGCGACTTTGTTCGCGTGGAATAGTGACATCCTGCAGACTTTTGCTTTAAAAACTATGTATACTATGTCCTTTCTCGACGTCTAAACAATCTCTGTACTGTAGATCCAAACTAATATTATAAATGCGAAAGTGTCTCTGTCTGGCTATCTGTCTGTCTTTTTTTCACGCCTAGACTACTGAACCTAATTGTGTGAAATTTGGTACAGACATAGTTTGGAACTTGACAAAGGACACAGGATAGTTTTTAAACCAAAAATCTGCAAGAAGTCACTAGTCCACACGAACAAAGTCGTGGACAAAAGCTAGTTACATATTTATAAATAGTTTAAATTACTTAGTATTTGTTTGCTTGAACGCACTGATTCCCAGAACCATTGGTTAGAATTAAACGACTCTTTTTGTATTGTATAGTCTATTTGACAAAGAAGGCTATAAACTCATCATGCTCCAAACAACAGAAGCCGATCAGCGAGTGAAACCGCAAGACAATAGGCTAGTTGTTATCAACGTAATATTAATTTTCTATTACAGGAGGACACAACATTCGAGACTAAATCGAACCTCACCTTCGAAGCAACTCGATATGAAAATGGCCGCAAATTCCACTGCGAGGCAGCAAACGAAGTCACTCTAGAGACAAAAGACCAACCGATGCGTGCTACCAAGGAACTCGAAATCTGGTGTACGTATTCATAATGATATAATGCCATTGTAATATAGACTTTATGATGTGCATTGTAGGGCTTAAGGAGCGGAAGGAATTATATTAAGTTTTGAGGTTTAGCTAGATATTGTAGAGTTTATGTCAATAGCACATCAAAAGAGAAAAGTGCATTTTGTGTTTTAAGTCTTTAAAAGACCAAGAGACGATCTCTGGCCACCGTAAGCGCGGGTCTGCGGACGGCGAGTAAGGGTAGCTCGCCTCCTACCCGAGCGTACGGCGCGCAGTGTTCCGCGCGCGTCTCAAAGAGCTAATAGACCACCACAGACGAGGCCCTATAGGGCTGATGTTCAGCCGGGGTTGCGGGGTAAGCGCAATGAGGCACCGCGACCTCGGCCCAGAGCAGAAGAAGGAACGGAGGGGTTTCTAGTCAGTAAGAGTCTAACACTCACGGGAGAAGCAATTTGATGATTTTCCCCTCACAAAAAAAAAGTTTTTAAAAGACGTTCTGTGTTTTGGGGATAAAACTTGTCGAGGTTGAGAACACCTGGCTGGGTGCTCACTATTTACAGCTATATGGTATACTGAGGCACATATGTTTGGCCAAGGTTGAGAACAATCACGATTACCTGCAGCAAGAACTGGAACCAGGAAGTTTTTAGTCAGTCAAGAAGAAGAGTCAAAAGTCTGAGACTCTCTTTTGTCCTACTAATGCGAGTGATGTCATTCAATGATCATCCTACCACACGTTAAAATTAGGCACTTCTGTGATTGCACAATTTGAGTAATAATTATGTATTGTGACCAGCTGATAAATTTGGTTTCATGGCTGTGGTTCCTATACAGAACAGCTATTTGTTTTACCCAACTTACTGATATTAGGAAGATGTGTATTTGTGTATTTATAAACACATACATCAACTCAATAAAATATTTTATACGAAAATTTTAAATCATCACTAAAATATCTTATGTGTCCTGAGCTAAGATAAAGTTATAAAAACAAAATTTTCAGATCCCCCAATCGTGCGAGTGGAACCGAAAAACATAACGGTAATAGAAGGGGCGAAGCTGCTTCTCAAATGCGAATACGAGAGCAATCCTTCCTCATTGAAGAGAGTCATTTGGTAAGTGAAAAAAATAATATTTGCAAATTTCCATTTTCTCCTAAAGAACATCTCTTTAGGAGAAAATCAGAACACCCTGTAACTTATTATTTAGTCTTGTGAGTGTATCGGTTTATTACTCACTAGATATAGATACTCACGAAATATATTTAGTCTTGTGATAAGACCGAAACCATTTCAAAATGTCAGCCACTAGTAAACAAAGATCTCACCCGATCCGAAAGCCAAAGATTTCATTGTCTTGCTTTAAAATGTAATAATGTTTGTTTTTCATGTTGTGGACCTTTGTAATTTTACTTTAGGTTTCCACCGTTAAGGCTAATATTCGTTTATTAAAATCTAGCCTGCATCTAATCTTTCTATTAAATAAATTATATATCAAATCAAATCAAATCATTTATTTGTTAACATAGGTGAATAACATACAGATATTATAATGTTGTTGACACAGAGCGCTATGTTATGCCAGGAGGCGTACAAATTTAATATGGTGTGATAATCTACATAAGTGAGGAATAAAAAAATTAAATTACTAAAATTTGAAAATCTTGTACACTTATTAAATTATAAGTAATACAAAACAAATTGCATGTCAGTTATTAATTACTCCAAATAAGTCAGAAAAATCAAAATAAATTTCATTATAGAAAGAAATAAGATAACCTTAGAGACTATAGAAACACAAGCATAAAAATATGGTACTAGATGCAACTTCACTTAAGCCTGGACACAGCGCGAATATTCTCCAATATATATATTTATATTCCAGGTACCGTAACGGTGAACGTGTGCCAGTTCAGAACACCAGCCATTATGAAGGTGGAACCACAGACCAGCACAGCCTTATCATATTGGACGCCAATGGTGGAGATATGGGCAACTACACCTGTGTGTTGGGTAACTCGGTGGGCAATGGATCCAGTCAAGAAAGTATTGATGTTAATGTATTGTGTAAGTATATATAAGCACTTTTTATTGAAGATAAGATTTTTGTATCTAGTAGCTGACAAAGGAAAAAAAACACTAATGAAATCTTATGTTGAATTAATAGACAGGGTTGTGGGTGAAAACGTGGTACAGCACCGCAGCCCCAACCTGGAACAGGAAACCCAGGGTGGTTTTAGCCAGTTAGTATTTTATAGCATAATTGTTTCGAGGGTTTGAAAATGAAAGGGTTTTAAATGTCACAAAACATACACACAGTGAAAGATGAACCAATATTATGTGAATGCCAAATTGTGGTGAAGTGTGGGAGAGCCATGCTTCGGCACGAATGGGTCGGCTCGACCGGAGTGATACCACGGCCTCACAGAAGACCGGCGTGAAACAACCACAGCGTTGTGTTTCGCCGTGTGAGTAAGGTTACCGGAGGCCCAATCCTTCCCCGCGGGGGCGGGGAAGGATTGATTTAGAGATTTAGGGATTGAGGAGGGATTGGGGAATCCCTCCTCAATCCCTAAATCTCCAAATCTCTAATCCCTAAAAGGTCGGCAACGCATTCGTAAATCCTCCGTTGCGGGTGCCAATGGACGGCGCTGATTGCTTACCATCAAGTAATCCGTCTGCTCGTTTGCCGACCAATTACATAAAAATAAAAAATAAAATAATTGTGGAAATAGTTTTAATTACATAGTGTTTTAAATTTTTTTAAGGGATTGGTCGTCAAATTTTTGGAACCATCACCTGATGCTAAGCAATCAGCGCCACTCATAGACACAAGCAACACCAAAGTAGTTTTTCGGCTTCTAGTGGTTAGTTTGGGTTTTGGGGATTGGGATAGAGAGAGAATAGGAAGCAGCACTATGACTAATCTACCTTTTCTTCGATTTCAGTCAAACCTCAAGTGCGATTGACGATGAGTTCCCCGAGTCCAATCTTGGAAACAGACCATAAGAACGTGACCTTGACCTGTGAAGTGGTGTCAGGGAACCCTCCAATCCTGGATGAGGTCATCTGGTTTCTCGATGGAGAAGTCCTAAAGCATCTTCCTGAATGCAACGATACTGAAGGAGAAGGTATGGACGAACAGTATTTTAAATTAAAAGACATTGAAAACTTGTTTGTTGCTGCCGTTTTGCCAGCTTGGGTTTCGGGTCTGGTGAAAGTGGACCGACACATTTTATTATGTGGACATCGATGTAAAAAACCCTTTATATCAAATCACTTTTAGCAACGATCTAAATATCAAACATTACAGAGAACCTCTGCAATGAAGTGGATCCGTCGATGCTGCTACTCCAGGATACAACAAAGAGTTTCCACGGAAACTACTCCTGCAAGGGCAAGAACTACGCTGGTTGGGGCAACGTCAGCGCTAAAACTGAACTCGTAGTGAATTGTAAGTATCCAGTTAAAATTAAATTCATGATTTATACCTGCTTCATTATTCTTCTTACTATAATTGAAGAATCTATCCTGTTCTATGTCCAATAAATATTTTGGATTCGTCACAGTGACATTATTAGGCTATTTTTTGAATTGCTTCTATTTTCAATTCAAACTCCTGAGCGTTTATATATTTAAGCACGGAAAGGTATAGGTATATTCCTATTATTTTAGGAAAAGCCACCGAATTTTAATAAACTCTAAATATGAACAAATCATATCAAAAGGTTTGTTGCGAAATTCAATAACCATGACTGACATTGTTTCATTAATTTTCCAGATCCTCCCGGACCAGCTAAGCTGACATACTCTCCGTGGCGAGTGGTCAAGGGCAAGAGTTTGGTGCTCAGCTGCAGTATCAAGGAGCGAGGACGACCAGAAGCTCATAGGTACGTTGGACCCCTTAATCTCAGAATACATTGCTCTGTATTCTGAGCCCTTAGTGAAACTTTTCATGTTTTTGACAAAGAGACCTGCAAACACAATACTTTTGTTTTGAAGGCAAGAAATTTAGAAAATTTTTAATTTGTTTTATGCTATTGGTCAGCAAACGAGACGGATCACCTGATGGTAAGCAATCGGCCGTCACCCATGGACACTTGTAATACCAAAGAAGTAACTGCAAGTGAGTTGCCGTCCTCTTGTGGGCTATTTATCAGGGATTAAGGATAAGCCATTTGAGGATTGAGGATGAAGGAAGGGATGGACCTTATCAAGGATTAGATCTTACTCCGAATGTGATTCATAATCTAAGTAATAAAAAGTGATTGTTACATTTTAATGGACATCTACCTTTTGGACCCTTATAACCTTGACAACATTTTCTACCAGATTCCGTTGGACCCGTGGCGGTCGGCCAGTCAGTGACATCGTTTCCCAGAACTGGACGATAGATCCCGTGACCTTGGACCATAGGACCAACTTCTCCTGCTGGGGCATCAACGCTGGAGGAGGGGGAGAGCCTGCTTACACTTCAATTGATGTACTTGGTGAGTTAAAACATTTTTAAGTCTTTAACAGAAGATATGTAATTGTTGAAACCAAATCCTCTGCTTAGCTGGCACTTACATATGTTGGCGCTCATGACGTTAAATGATTTAGATAAAGATGATGAGGGCTTTAGCTAATTGTTGAGAGTCACAAATATTGTTTGAATTATCGGTTGCAATGGAAAATTATTGTAGTTAACATTTTTAAAAGGACTTAACACAAGATATCTACAAGTGTTCCTATTTGCAATCGGACCTGAATGTAAATATTTAAATATTAACAATTGTACGAGAACCTTAGTAAAAAAAGAAAAAGATTAATACTATGTCGTTGACAATTAATTTTAAAATGTAATTAAATAAGCATTATTTGGTTTTCAGCTCCACCCAGTTTCAAATACGCGATGAACCATTACAGCGGTGCTTTGTACAAGTCACAAGTAAGTTTTTTTCAGTAAATTTATCAATTTAGAATTTTACCGATAGGTTTCGGTGTAACTAAAAAAAAGACTGAAATTACATTATTTACTTGAAGTTTCTGTTTAATTTGATATCGATAAAAATCTCAAAGGTTGGATTTATTTTATTGTGCCACGCGAATATTTTGACATTAATTCCTATTACACAGTAGACATAACATAACACTGACAAAAACTAAATGTTATGTTTAACTGCTTACTGCTTAACCCTGTCCTACTCTATCTTTTTTCTTATGTCGCATACGAAGTTTTTGGAAATTTCTAATTTCCTGTAAGTCTCAGAGGTTTGAGGATTGCCGAGCGATGGGCAGGGGCAGAATTGGGCCTCACACAAACGGAAACACACAACGCTATAGTTGATTAACGTCGGTTTTCTCTGAGGTCGTGATATCGTTCCGATCGAACCGACCCATACGTGCCGAATCATGTTTCTCTCACACTTAAATCTTAGTCGACTTACTATTATCCTACTTACCTTTTAACTTTGCTCTCCTAGGAACCTTCTCCTGAAAATAACAAAATAAAAACGAATGTAGTGGATGTTAAAATTTTCTCTTAACCACTTTTACAGAACATTTCCTTATCATGCACTGTGGAATGTGCACCTCTATGCAGCGTGCAATGGCTGAAGGATGGACACGTCATAGACCCCGAAAAGACCGACCGATACTACGTGGTGGAGAGGAAGATTGAGCCACAAGTCAATAGGAATGATTTTGAAGCTACCGAGTCTACATTGGTAAGACAAATAATAAATCAATATTTTTTGTGCTTTATTTACCTACATCATTACAAAAAAACGGTATGTTCTTGTCCTTTAAAAAAAACAAAAAACATTTACATGGACTTGACTATCAATGGCCAAATCGCTACATGCCATTTTAGGCAAGTTAGTAGCCCAACACTGTTTTATCACCGATATTACAGACTCAAGTTCCCTGAGGTCTGAAAATACAGAATCTTCTGACCAAGCTGGGTGACCAAGTCTTGCAAACTGTGCCCAACAGTTGTATCATGTGATTTTCTATCCGTACGCAAACTTTTGTTGTGATGTCCTCGCAATTTTTTTTTATAATTTTGTCCGTTTTCATATAAAAATTACTGAAAACACATTTTAAAACCTCTTTATATATTTCTCAGCACTGGAACATGTCAGCTTGGCCATCACATGCACTAGACCGAGCCGCAGATACTGCTAGCTACACCTGCAGGTCTTCCAGAAACTTGGCAGGACCACCTGTGAACAGTACCACTAAATTTGCTGTAGAGTGTAAGTATACATATTGTACTAAGCATACAATCGTAAAAAGCAATTAAAATGTACTTAGATTTCATTATATTATATGAAAATATTTTCAACTTTCAGATGAACCAGAAAACATTACTGTAACACCTGAAGTTGTACAAGTGACTGAAAATGAAATCCCAGCTAAAGTCGTATGCTCTGCAAGGTAAGCATATATTTTTTGAAAACATGTAAATCCATAACCATGCAACATTCTTATAATCAACTTTTTATCACAGAGGTTTCCCCATGCCCTCCTATGTATGGCGTCGTGAGCAACCCAGCAAAGTGTCTGCTAAGGAGCATGCCAACAATTCTCTGGTCCTCTCATCTTCAAACACATTGCTGTTGGGACCAGTTCAAAGAAAGGATGGAGGGAACTACACTTGTGAAGCTTACAACAGACACGGATCTGTCAGCACTTCCGTCTTCCTTGATGTCATGTGTAAGTGACTTTCAATATTTCTTGACTGTGACCTGAGCTAAGCTTTCGCCACTGTTTATCAAATGAATGTTGGTTTTATGATTGAAGCTTGTGGTATCTTTTTTGAATTGTATTATTGATTAAGGGAGATAAGTGTTATTCATTAATCTTAACTAAAATGTCATCATCGTTACATCATTGTTTATACGATTTACTGTAGATGTAAGTATAAGGTGTACCACAGGGTAACATGTTAGGTTCAAATTAAACTATGCAAAATTATCTACTTAACACCATTTTTTATACTTTCAGATGTGCCTGAATGTGGTATCAAACCAAGTGAAATTGATGGAGTCCAAGTACTGGTCTGCACAGCACACGCCAACCCCTCAACGGTAAATATTATATTTAATTTCGCATATCACCTATAAAAAAAGATATCAGATATTTGAACGATAGTTTATTTTTACCAGGTATCATTCTTCTGGAAGCTGAAAAATGACAACGACAGTCTGACGGATGAGAAAATTTGGCAGCAAGGAGCTCAGAGCTTCTTAAGATTGAGTACCAGCGTGGATGTGTACAGGACCTACCTGTGCTACGCCAACAACTCCGTTGGAATGTCTCGACCTTGTGAAAGAGATGTTATGGGTAAGTGGAAACTTATAAACTAAATGATAGTAGTAAGTATGTATGTTCAGAGCACTAGATAAGTGTCCATAATATTTTTTTAATAGTGTGAGCTAAATTAGGTTGGATTTTCAATTCTCTCTCTAGAACAGACTGTAGAATTGTGTCTAATATTTAGTTAGGGTCTAAAGTGGACATTGAAAAGTATGTTAAGCTATTTGTCCACTTCTGAATACCCATTAAAGAAATGACTGATGTGGGGTTTGTTATTCTCACCAATATTTATGTGTATAATACAAAACGGAGGACTATAACACATGTAGAATTATACGTTAATAATAAAATATCCCTAATCCTCAAATCCTTAATGCATAACAGACTGGCAACTCTTAACTTTTCTTATGTTGCCGATTGCTTACCATCCACCTTACTCTATTATTTATAGAGTATTGAATTGGTCTCTTTCAACTTAAATATCTATCTATTATAACAGTGTAGTAAACAAATCATTCTGGTTTACAGCCAACTTGGAAAGCTTCGGTAAGTTTGGTAAATTGGAACAGAAGAACATCGGTATTCGTAATTTCTATTGCCTTATTGAATTCTAAAAAGACCTACAGAGCATAATTATGATGCTTAAGTAACTATAATAATAAAAACAAACGCATTGGCTTATCTCGCACAGTAAAAGAAAGCAAAAAAGATTGACAGCTTTTTTGCACAAATTAACAATTATTTTGAAATTCTATTTCTACGATAACTGCTTAAAAGTAAATTAATGATTGGTAAATCAATAAAAAAGTTTGAATTTTATACAAGCAAATTTTAATTCTATTGCTATAGTCATACGGGATGATGGCAACAAGTCAAATACGAAATTTTTTTCAAACATCGAAAACAATACGTTTTCATTAACTTTCCAGATTGTTCCAAAATTATTTTCGTCTTGTAACGTTTAGAATAAATATTCTAAATTAAAACCAAGTTTATTTCTGGGAGTGACATTATTTTTAGATGCTCGATCAGATTTATAAATGGAAACATTGGTTACCTTTTTGGCTGAGTCATCATCCCACCAGCCCTTTTCAAGTATCTTCGAAGTTTGAACTCTATTTGGTTTCCTTTAGGTAATAAGGTATGGTGGCGTGACCAGCAAAAGATGTTCCTCATTGGGGGGATCGCTCTCGCCATTTTGGTGATCACCGTCATCCTCTGCATCATCATTATCTGCATCTGCCGGCGTATGAGGGCGAAGTCCAAATGTAAGTCAACCATCATTCAGTAATTTTCAGTCCGTGTGGCAAGTTGTATTCGTAAAAATTGTATCTAAATAATTTGCACGTAGTTTTTAAGGTCTGATTTTTCAATGGTTAGATAAAATTTATCTGAGGAATAATTATGATGCTGTCGCGTCAGAATGTTTGTATAAGACAGGGACAGTAACAACATTATTCCTAAAATAACATTAAAACTGACTTTTGAAAAAACAGCCCTAAATGGTAAGCATTTTCAGAGCTTGAAAGAGAAGCTGAAAAAGTATCATGGTTAACTGTAATAATATTCAAATTTTATTAATGATCAGTAGCTCATCTGTTTTGATTATTAGTAGATGTATCTAATGATTCAATTTCGTTTTGTCTATTAACGCTTTATCAATTTCAACTTAATATTCCAACGTGTCATATGGACTGGCGACATTTAGCTTGATTTTTATTTTAGTGTTGTCTTTTACATTCTAAATGTTGAGTAACTAATACAGTATTTGTTTTTTGATTACCATCTTTTGTCTTTCAAGCGTTGTTATAAAAGATCAATGTTTTATCCGATTAATTTTTCGATGTTCGTATTCATTTGTAACATATTTTCGATAATTATTCTCATTAAGACTAGTTGCGTCATTTTCATCTAGCATAACGTTACTCACATTTATGCGATTATTTTTGTAAGTAGTTTTTTCTTTTGTTTTGCAATAACTAACTCTTATTTTTTTTTCTTCATCCTATCTTTCCCGGATGCTGCTACTAAACACACATCGTCAACTAACATACAAACATATAGACAATAATCCGGTTGAATTAGAGGAGCGCGAAAAGTAAGTTTTTTCTTTCCTTAATTTATTTTTATAATTTTTTGTCTCTCTAGAATGTCTAGTACTAGTTATATTTATGCGTCTCTATAGATTTATTTTTCGATTTTAGGTATTGTTAGAAAGTTTTTTTTTTACTTTTAGTTAAATAATTATTTATTTTTTCACAACACCTAGCTCTTTATTTTTATTTAAAAATATATTACTTAGCTGGAAACTTTCTAACAATAGAAAAAACCTTTTACTTTTATAGAAAAATAATCCTGAAGAATGTAGATCCAATCCTAAAAATGTATGTTTATCAACAATCCAAAAATAGTTTTTAGAAAACTTAGTTCTCAATCAAATTAAAAACATTTAGTTACTAAGTATTTATATTTATTTTATATCACACTTCTAAAAGTATATTTTATTTTATAAACACTTTTTTTATAATTTATTTTATATAACATATATTGCAATAATAACAACACAAAAAATATATAAATGCCAACGTATTTTATTTTTGTAGTAAACAATTATACAATTTTACAGCTACGCCATTGGTCCGAGCAGATTCATGGCATACGTTATCCATGCCCCCTTCAAGGTCACCACTAGTAGTGCCCATGACGAGACCTTATCATTAGAAGGTCACCAACGTGCTCAAGGTCACTAAGTTTGAGTTTGAGTGAACTGCTATACTATAATTGTGCTTGGACCAACGGCTGATAGTTTTGATTTTAAAAGTCTTGAGCTAAAATGTCTTGATGATTTTATTTATTTGTTTAATGTTTAAGAATTATAAATTTATTTCTTAGAGCATTGATATTTCGTATTTTATTTTATGTTATTTTGCTTTTATGATAATGCCAATATTTTATCATTGGCATTTATATAAAATTTATATTATTTATTATTGGCAAAAAATTAAATGATAAAATTCATCGACATTTTAGCGATAAAGTTGGGCTTGAAAAGATAGAAAAAAAAAACAATTAGCAGCATGATTTTGATACTCTTGACAGAATAACACTGGTTTTCAAAGATATATTTATCATCATTATTTATTGTGTACTATTATTAATAATTATTAATGTGTAGGTTCCTAACCGCACTAACCCCGGACGTTCTCAGATTGACCACAATTAATACTTCAGGTACATTTTTGACAAGAAAATAAAATTGCTAAAATGTAAAGATTGAAAATTTTGAAAAAAAAATCCACTTTAGATGGAGGATGCTTTCTTATTATTTAAACGCTGTTATTTGGCTAGTTTTATTTTTAAGTTGGATTTTGGCGTAAAGTGTGACCACAGTAGAATTAAATTAATGAGTAGTGTCGGAATAAATTGTCAAAAATTTTGTACGAGTATTTTTCAATTGAGTGATGCATGATTTGAAACTTTGAAAGCATTCTTCTTTGTACTTTTATATTTTGTTTATTTATTGTATATATATATATTATCGTTTTTACGTAGTTTATTAATATTGATATTGATTATATTTATTTACATACTTCTCCATATTTATATAATACGTATGTTTAATTTCATCTGATTAATATTATTATTTCCGTAAAATAGGATTAGAACAACAAAAATTTTCGTTTAGGTAAACGTTAACCATATTTTAATTTACTAACTTCTAAATACGTTTATGTACAAACACCTTTTTTGATTTTATAACATGTCCTACACATACCACTGCATGTATATAGGTATAATCATTATTTTTATTTCTTTTTTTATTTTCACGTTTAGTCCCGACGGTAGCTGTATTAATGAGGTGTCAATCGCACAGTCGATTATATCGCAAGCATTACCCGCTCTATCTCCTCGTCTAAATTTATCATTCAGTCCAAAAACATCAGACAGAACAAGACTAGTCGACTCCCAAAGCTACCCACACAACTTAGAAATGAGCAAAATAGAGGAGAATCAAGATACACCAGAAAACACGACCCAAACAGAAACGAACCAAGAAACAGAATTACAAACACCGAAAACCGAGCCTAAAGTTGATGGGAATAAAGCGCAAACTGTAGTAACACCTAGCAAGTGGCCTTTGAAACCTGGTGTGCTAGTCCACGTAAATTCCAACCATACTCTAAGTCCTAAGAATCAAGCAAGATTACAAGCAGCCAATGAAGAATCTAACTTAGGACTGTTAGAAAGAAATAAGACTGAAGAAAAATCACCGCCTAAAGTGGAATATTCAAAGAAAAATGGGAAACCACGGCAGAATGTCGTATCAGGTATTTTCAAAAACCTCAGACGAAAGAGTGAAGATTCTGATGATGATAGTGGAAAATATAAAAAGATTAATAAAAGCAATAAAAGAGCCATGTCGCTAGTCAGTATGAATAAACCGGGATATCTAGTGCAAAAGAGCCGACTAAAATCACTTTTTCAAAGTGAAAAGCCTAATATTATTGTCACTGAAGGAGGTAGTTGTCTTCAAGATATTTAATACGGTGATGGTAAATGAGGCAATACTGTAAAATAGTCTAATAACCTTCTTATCTTACCGCACACATCATTATTATTACTAAACAATCTACCATTTTTCTTCTTAATACACTCAGTAAATTAAATGCCTACCCTAAAATAAGCGTGGGTCTGGGAAAGGCGAGCAAAGATGCTTGCCGCCTGACCAGAGTCAGACCCGAGCATATGGCTTAAAGACTTAACAGATCACCAAAGACGGAGCCCAAAAGGTCGAATGTTCAGATATACGGTTCAAGCGCACTGATGCACTAATGTAGTGGACCTGGCCTAGAGCAGGGAAGGAACGGGGTAGCTTTTAGACAGTAAGAGTCTGATACTCCCTTCTCCCCGCGCAGGGCAAAAATAGCCCGCCCCACCCAGGTCACAGTCATTCAATGATTTTCCTTTTCCAACCAAAAACCCTGAACTAATACTAAGGAACCTGAAATAATCTACATTCCCACCTCTTTTCATAATAAACACGAAATCCCTTCTTTGACTTTGTGCGACAGGATTAAAATCTTCGTCAATACCTTTTTCCTCTATTCCATTGTTTTCTAAGCCTTTTACACTTTTATTTACATTATTGCCTCAAACATTATCACCAAACACAACACTGTTATCTCTAAAACATTCAAAATCTTCTTCATTTCAACAAACTATGCTTTTAACATTACATTGCTCAAGCATGATATTAGTTTTAGTCTCACTGTAATTATTGCCTTCAGATCTGTTAAAAGAAAAGGTCGAGATATAGAGATGTGTTTTGCAACAGCAATATTGGCTACAATAACCATGTTTTATTTTTATAAAACAGTTTAAGGATATTTTGCCAATTTAGGTTCAAATCAATCAACATCTGTTTATCTCGATTCTATATAAATTTAAAATATTTTGGTTTTCAAAATTCTTAATAGATTATATTTCAATTATTGGCTATAAATATAATAACCTCCAACCAGGCTAAGAGCTCATATTCTTGAGCCAATTGCAGGACGTTCTTTGCGACGCGTCACTATGATATGATATGATATGACGTGACACTATGATGCGCATGGATGCAAGTAAACCCGTAGAATAGCTTGAAACTAGTCAGGATAGGAAAGATGTTACGTTAGTGAGTTGCTAAGCATACTCAAATATTTTGATATATCTCACAAAAGCTATAATACATTAATTGATACTATTACGTAGGTACTGTACAAGAAGTTAAAAGTGAAGTTCAGTCTTGCAAAATGAAGACCAAAATATTTTAAACGTCAACCAAAATTGACAATCTTCCACGGCTTTTGCTCTTTGCACGTTTTATGCTTAATGCTTTCTTTTGCATTGTTTTAATGTTCGCATGTTTTTAGTTGTGTCGTTCAAAAGACCTGATAGAATAGTAACTACTAGTGCCAAGGTCAAACCATTTACTGATGAGGAACCGAAGACAACAAGAAAACGGAAAAAGCCAGGTGACAGTAAGTAGAGCATGCTTGCTTGTTTGTTTGTTGTGTGTTTGTGATTTTTTTACTTTATTTTGACCAACAAGAAAGTTTAAGGAAGACATTCGCAACTTCATTAAATCTACATAATGCAACGTTAATCAAATTGAAGTCCATAACGTTGAAGAAGTCACCAATCATAATATCTTTGTAAAATAAAGAAGTACATACAATTCTTGACCAATTTCTAATTCGCTTCGAAATATCAAAATCCGTAATACTAATGTAATATAATTCCTGACAGGCCCACCTTCGAATGGCGTAGATAATGCAGCAAACGGCAACCTTGGAACGGACAACCCAGGTCTCTACGAGAACCTGCCGTTCCATGGACTACAACAACCACCCAATAAGGTAATAATGGTTTAATGTATAAAAATGATAATGGCAATGATTTGAAGCTAGATACTAAATAGTCTTTCAGTAATGTTTTCGAAAAAGATTTTAGATAAACGTCGTCAAATATTTATGTATGTTAAATAAATTAAAGAAATATAAAGACTTTATGTAGAGGACACTTACTAAAAGCAAGGAATACATTTTCTCCAATGTGGTGGGTTCGTTTACAAACATACAATTCTACGTAAACATTACACCCAGATCTAGAACAACAATATGCAGACAACAAAAAGAGTTGTTGGGTACTGCGGTACTGCTGTGCAGTATCGCACGGTAAGCGGTTGCCCACCCACTGGTAACCGGTTGACACACACGTGTCACTGAATGCACTGAATTTAATAAATTTCAGATCACATAAAAAAATATTGTGTTTATAAAAATGATAAAGCACAATACTATGTCTTAAATAACAGGCACTTTTAGTTATACTTCAAAAATAATTCGAGATTATTTTATTAAACAAAATATTTCTGAAAGACTATCGCACCAAACTCAATCAACTACCAATACTTACAATTAACTTGTTACTGTATGTGTGTTGTTTTGCTTTTATTATAATTTGCATTTTGTTTCTTTTTTGTTTCATGTTTTATTAATTTGCATGTAAAGCCTGTACAGGCGATACAACCGCGAGTGATAGAGACTAACTCTAAAACATCGAAAGGAATAGAAGCTTTACAAAAACAACTGACTACAAACCCATCGTTCACACCAAGACTGGTTTGCCCACCATTTGTCCAAAACGCCATAGGATACCCCATGGCCTCGAACTCACAGTACTCTTACGGAATACCAGTACTATCTCCTATACAACAAATGTATCCATTGCATCAAACAGTTTTGCTCAACCCATATCTGCCTCCGATGCAAACATCATTCTTAAAACAATTCCCAACTATAGACGAAGAAATACCTGAAGGCGATAAAAGAAAATTTTCTTCGTTAAACACAAGAGTCCAAAGAAAATCACCACAGTTCCAATCTATGAGAGTTGTGAGAAAAAGGAATATTGAAAGATTTTACCCTAATACAGAATATGGAGAAAATTTCAACGAAATCAATAATAATGATAATAAGAATGAAAATCCAACTCCTGTTACTGAAGATTCCATTTATGTTAACTGTCCATCTTTACTTAAAGTCAAATCTAATATATCTGGAGTTGAACAGTTTGAGAATTTGACAGATTCCATACAAGTTTATGAAGAACCTGACTTAAGTCAGTCTACTACTTCTCTAAACCGGCCAGTACCGGCTCCTCGTACAAAAATATCTCCATTAAAATCACCGTCTAAAACAGATCATGTCTATGTTAATCTTTCTATGCCTTTAATAAACACAAAGTTTTCAAAATCCATTGATACCATCGATGCTCCAGTCCGTCCCACAAAATCCGCCGAAGACATATCCAAAATGAAATTCGAAACTAAGTCTGATGAACAAGATGATAGTGATGAAGAAAAAGATTCTGATGAAGCAAAGGCTGATATTTCTAAGCCAAATATTATAGGAGCTACTCCTAAAAGAAATTTATCTGGAACATTACCATCTACTTCGCTAGTTAGATCTGTAGTGAGGCAGTTAAACGATGAAGGTATCAACAAAGTTGGTTTACCAAAGAAACAAGTGATATCACCAAATAAAACGCTACAAATACCAAAGTTAACTGAGAAACCAATACCAAAACGGTCAGTTGTAAAACGTAGTCATTCGGTACAAAGCTCTCTGACAGTGGACAGTGATAACGGTCAGGTATAACGCTTCTTACGTTTTATTTTCTATTTTATGTTCCTTCTGGCTAACGTGTGTGTTCTAATCCCTAACAAACTAATTTCCTTTTCAGAATACTAACATACTCCAACAACAGTACATGCAAAAACGTAACCACTTCACAAACTTAAGTAACAAAGGAAAGAACAAGAAAAATTTTCAAATACCGCTTCAAAAACATCATAGCTTTTGTTATTTTCAACCAATAAGGGTCGATAAAAGAATCCCTGTCGACCAGGAGAGGTCTTACAATAACACGATAGGACCTCTCATTTACCAACCTTCTGAAGCACAGTACTACACAAAGACATTGAACAGAACGAGAGAAAAGAATAGTCAGAAATTGAATCGCTTGAAAAAATCTGAAAGCTTAAGAGAGAAACTCTCCTGTGTCGGGGTTTACGATAACTATCAAAAGCCAGATTACCCTGAGCCAGAATATAATGAGTCAGAGAGGAAATCATATTTACAGTTACTAAAAGGCAACTACATATCAAATTCAACGAGAAATTTGGGTCCGGAGAATTTTAGCTCGAATTATTCGGGTCCAAAAGATGAAAAGCCTAAACAAAAAAAGTTAGTGTACGCTGATTTAGCTTTAGGTAATCATAATATGAAGTTTAAAAACACTGTCAATTCTAATAGACATTTGTATGATACTTATACAGTAGGTTCAGATAGTGCTAATAAAGATACTAACAGTAGTTATAAGAATACGTCTAGTACTCAAAGGAAAGGTGGCCAAGCGCAGCCTAGGAGTGATTATGCCACTCTAAAATTTAATGAGATTGATGTCTGAGAGGTGAGTTCTATTCATTCTAAAATGATGATGACAAGTTTAAAAGCTGATTTAGTGAGAGGTGTTATTTTAAATAAAACACATAAAATAAAATAAATAGTAATATTAAAAATCAGCGTTTAAACTTTACAAAATGTATTTTATATTATTTAAATTAAAAACCTTAAATTCAATATTTTACAAATTAAACAATATTTACTTTGAATTAAATTTATACTTTAGAATATATGAGTTAAGATTTTGAAGATTTTTAAATTTAAATTCCATTTATTATCTTCATCAATATATGGATGGTAATATGTGCCTAAGTGGAATTTTACCTGCTTTCACAGCATGAAATTTCCGCTCCACCACAAAAAAGCCTAAAATATTAAAATTTTGCCTAAATTATCGATTTTTTTCTCATACATTTGCATACATAAATAAAAGTTCATTAAATTAATTCATTCGCATAGTTCATTATTTATGAATAGGCTCGAATTGCTTGCCTAATCACTATAAAATAGGTAATTAAGAATATAAAACAAGTTGATTAGTGCAAACAAAATAAAAAAAGGTTTAAAAACGAAAAAAGTAGTATTAAATTATCACTAAATAAAATACTGATTAAGTTTTGGGCCAAAATTTTTAAATATATGTAAATAAATGTATGAGTTCCCAAGTAGCATGTATTCGCAATGTTGTGACGTTTTTTTTATATTTTCTTCTAGGAACGCTTTTCCAAGAGTGACACGTACATTTTTTAAAAAGTCAAAGGTAATATTTTTCAAAATTCATTTCGGATTAAATATTGTATACTACGCTTTCGTTTCTCATTTCATCGCTTTTTAAACGACAAAAAAAAACATATTTTTGGCATCATAAAATTTACTAATAGCCGTGTATTTTAAAACTATATTAGCAGTAGCACTAATAATTAAAAAAAAAACACTTTTAACAGAAACACGCTTCGCACTTAACACATATTACCATTTTGATATTGTTTTTTTTCTATTGATATTGTTTTTTTTTCTATATAGGGTGTAAAAAGACACTTAACGAAGCCGAAAGCCACGTATTCTACCTAATTTGGATCATTTTTTTCAGAATTGTTTTGTTGTTGCGAAGTAAAACGTCGACCTACGTACTTATCACAGCGTTTTCATTCTAAGCTGTGAACCTACGCACACAATGACACAAAGCCCGTTTGCTTTACATTGCGCGCAATAAAATTATTATTTCTTTTTGATACCTAAAAATAATAGTCGTTTCCCAGTGATAATTTTAGCGTAAAGCTACTTAGTTAGAAGTGCAGTATGCGTAGTTAACGGCTTCGTTAAGTTTTTTTTTACATCCTGTATATGTGTATTTATTCTTTTGAAAACAATATACTAAAATTTTTTTATGTAATTTTTCTCAGCCGTTCAGACCAGAAGACCAATTCATTTACGCCGACGCTGATATGAAAGACTACGGGCCTATCAATTACAAAGCAGCATCAATTTACGCTCAAATGAAGAAAGTCAAAGAACAACAAAAATTACAAGAGATTTATGATAAACAAAACGAAGAAATGCTCTGATATTACTCGGTTGTCAAACAAAATACTTCACTTTGTTTTCTCCTTTTACTTTTTCTTGTTTGTGTTTGAATTTCTTTTTTAGATACAAAATTGTTTTCCTAATTTCAAAATTACTATTTTAATTTTCTGAATAAAATTAAAGTTGTAATTTCGATTTTTTGTATCAATAAATCCAGTTAACTAACCTTTTTATGAATAAATATTTGATTTATTAAGTAAATAATTTATTAAATTGTTGACTTGTAATTAATTTTGTTGCATTTTACTATTCATATTTAATCAAAATTTTAAATTATCGACAACCGAGTGATATTTTGAATAAAAGATTTTTTTAAATTGTTTTGTTTATTATAACTCATCTTGTATTTGTACATTTTAAAAAGTTATCGTAAAAATGTAAATAAAAATAGATTTCTTATACTTATAAATGTAATTAACGAAGGATTGATTTGTCATTTCACAATGTGTGTACTTAATGATTTATTGTTTAGATATTCAGTTATAAATATACTATATAAATTAATTTATTCTATAAATCTGTATTGTCTCTGAAATTATAAACCGTGACTTAAACAGAATTCGTATACCTTCAAAATTTAATAGGTACATATATATTGAAAGAAACAAGTTATTTAAAAAAAATCAAGTAACTGACGAAGCTAAATAATTTCTAGTTAATCATTGCTTTTTTGTTTCAATATAAAGATTTTGCGATCTTCATAGATTTATAAAATTATAGATCTATAAGATAAATTATATATCTATTAGCGTGAGTCTCAATAAAAAAAATACAGATTCACAATCTCGCGATAAATATCATAAGTATGCCAAATACTACCGCATCTTTTACACAATATCTCTAACATCGAAAAACAATATGCATTGGCCGTGTAACTTTTAGTCTTGAATATTGTTTTATATAATGTTCTATAATAAATTTAATTAAAGAAATCATTCATTGATATTATTTAAATAATAATTTATATTGGAAACTAACATTAAATTTTCGAAAGTAAACGTCAGTTACTTGCTTGTTTTCGACGTAGTGTAATTTTTTTGACATGGCATTCGGTTCAATTTTTTTTCAACATTTTACTGTAAAGAAGTCTATTTATTTTAGCAAACCTATCCAATTAAGTACCTACTTATAATTTTTATATTCATTATTACTATCAGAGAATGCAGTAATGAAAATAGTCAAGTCTATTTGATAGCTCAAATTTAATTGGTTGGAGAGTAAACTTGATGATATTGATTATAATTTTGAGCTATAAGATGGATATTATTCAGCACAGCAAGGCTTCACGTAGGTTGACCAGAAATAGAGATTTTAATATCCGTCCAAGCGGGAATGTCTACAAAGATTTGTTGAGTTTTAATGTAATAAAAGCCGTTTCTTTATAAATTTTAGTGTAAATTACAATTATCGTGTATTATAGTAGTCGGAAGACCTAAGACTATCCAAAGATAAGATAGGTGAATTAGGAAGTGTAAATGCACAAAAAAATATATTGTGCATTCGTGCATAGATAATGCACGGACAAATAGATGTGTTCACAGTATGCTTATGGAACGGACGAACCATACCTACACATAATCGGCATTTATTTTTTTACTTTTCATTTTTTTTCTCACCGATTTTTTGTACTTACTATTTATTATTACAACGAATTACAATTTTTGTAATAGGTTACAATTTTGTGAATTTTTTTAATTTAATTTTTAATATTAATGTTATTTTTAACGTCGCTTTTTATAACAATGTTTAATTATGTAAATGTGATAATAGTCTGAATTTAATCTGTACTGGTTCCGTTACTAAACTCTTTTCCGTTTCTTTTTTACAAAATGGCGCCTTTACAGCTTTTTTATTAAGTTTTAACCACTCTACAATCGTGATTAAATAAATAAATAGGTATTTGTGAGACTAAAAAAATCGTAAATAAATAAGTTTAACTGTTGTACTAATGTAAATATAAACAGGGAGAAAAAGTCTTAAAATATCGGCGGCCATTTTTTGCACTTAAAAAATGTATTTTTTTTTTGTACCTAAAAAAATCATTAGTATTGTACGCTGATATTTTTTGGATTTTTTCTAAGTAAATTAATATAAAAAGGAATACTAGAGATGCACTCTAGCGGAGTGGATAGACGAGGGCGGAATCAATTTTACGTAATTTTACAATTTTGAGCTGTATAGAGTTGTAATAAAATACTTTTTTGTTAACAATAAAATTGGATTCTTGATTTTATTTAAAATTTAACCTAAAATTTTGATTGTTAAAATCTAATTTTGAATGACATAATTCCGCCATGTCTCTACAACGTATAGAAACAATATATTAAAGGTATTAGATGAGGTTTTGTACATAAAAACTTGTTATAATATGTCGAATAGTGTTATTAAATTAATTTATGGATTTTTATATTGTTGTTTCATTTCTTACTAGCTTCTGCCCGTAGCTTCGCCCGCGTGGTATCTTGATGAAAAGCAGCCCATGTAGTACTCCACGGTGTCATCACCTATGTACATACCTCATATTTCACCCTAATCGATCTAGGCGTTTTTGCGTGAAAGAATAAGAAACATCCATACATTCATGCTCACAAACTTTCACATTTTTAATATTAGTAGGTAGGATAAGACTAGGGACCCGCCCAGGCTTCTCACGGGTGCATTACTGATCAAGGGACGATCTCCGGCCACCCGTCAGGGCCCGACCAGAACCAGGCCCAAGCGTACGGCGCGTAGCGTTCCGCGCGCGCCTCAAAGAGCCAATAGACCACCACAGACGGGGCCCTAAAGGGCTGATGTTCAGCCGGGGTTGCGGGGTAAGCGCAATGAGGCACCGCGGCCTCGGCCCAGAGCACGAGAAGGAACAGGGGGGTTTTTAGTCAGTAAGAGACCGACACTCCCCCCCCCCCCACCCAAAAAAAGACGGGTGCATTACTGATACTAAATTTCAACACTATTTAATGGATGTCAATACAAATAGAAATCTTCCTCTTCAATTACACTATTAAAATTGCATCAATATCTGTAGCGTACTTTGCAAGATTTAAGCATACCTACATAGGGATATAGAGACAAAGAAAGCGACTACGACTTTTTTGTATACCTAGTGGTACAATATTCTCAAATCAGACTGCAATGTAGTAATTGTACGAAGTAAGTACCCATTTGGTTAGTGTCTTTAATTATCAAATGAAATATTTACAAATATATATATGAACATATATATGTCGGAGCGTGGAGAGCGAGCGCTGTGACTGTCATAGGAGACGGATCGCAGACGTCCGTTATTTTTGTAATTTATTCGGTCTGAATATAAAATCCTACGCCCTGCAATGGACTGTGAAGACGATGATCGGGATGTTGATGTTTGTACCAACCCCCCGGTGCCTTCATATACATATACGTAAATCACAAATCTCATTTTGTTAGTCAGTAGGAAAAGGTATTTTTGGTCTGGTAGGACGGCCAACGACCACACGGATGGTAAGCAATCAGCGCCGCTCATGGACCGTATCAACGGTGGAGTCACGAGTGCATTGCCGACCTTTTGGGAATTAGGGATTTGTATATTTCCAAATTCAGGGAGGCGGAGAATTGAGCCTTCGGTACACTGATACATACACGACGAAACACAATGCTGCAGTTGTTTCACGCCAGTTCTCTGTGAGGTCGTGGTGTCACTCTAGCGAACCGACCCATTCGTGCCTAAGTATGGCTCTCCCACACTTATAGGTTACATAAATAACGAATGTTTTCATTGTCATAGAGTGTCAGCTATATTGACATGAAGAATATGTATATGAATCTCAAACTCAGAAATTTCAAAAACCGAAAATCTCTAAGATTTGACACAGTTAGAGTAACTGAATCAGACCAGTATCTAAAATAGCAAGAGTATTTAGTATACGAAAAACGTAGCCCCACTAGGCTTTTCTTTGTGTCATGGGTTGAACTGAGTAAAAACGCCCCCGTTCCTTCTCCTGCTGTTAGTCGAGGCCCCGGTGACTCACTGTGCTTGCCCCGCAACCCTGGCTGAACATCAGCCAGGGTTGCGGGGTTCACATGCACATCACTCAGCCCCAGAAAAACAATTTATAAATCACACAAAGAGTTGTTCTGTGCGGGAATCGAACCCGTAACACGTTGCGACAACATTGTAGTCAACGTCAATATCGTTAACAGCCTATAGATGTGAATAAAAATCACAATTATACATTTATAATTTAAATAAACTAGACATATAACATAATAAGTGGTTAAATGAAACAACACATTAAAATCAGATTTCAATTTGACTTTATTCTTCTCCTTCACAAAATCAATTAATTCATAAAACTTACAAAAATAAAATATTTACAAAAATCTTTTTTTTATATCAACAAAATATTTACAAAACAAAAAAGAATATTATCACAGTTCAATATCGGAAACAAATTCAATTGTTTCAATTTTTCTTTTTGCTCTTTTATTTATAATGAAGTAAAACAATTTCTATTTTCACGAAATTAAAATATAAAAAATTCACAATTTAAAATATTATTCAAAATTTTAAAATTTATTTTGTAAATGAATTAAACCATAAATATCTTTTATTCATTTTATCAAGTTTCACAACTTATTATTCAAAATTTGAAAATTTATTTTGTAAATGAATTATACCAAAAAAGTGTCTTGTTTATATAATCGTGAAATTGCTATCACATGATTGGAAATGAATCACAATTCCCACGGCTGGGCAAAGTTTACTCATTAGTATAATCTCAGTAAAGGTTAATTAATGTTTCGTGAAGTGACCACACGGATATTGATAAATAACAAAATAATTAGCATTTCTTGAGTTATTGAATAACATAGTATATGCTTTAGTTATGTATGTAATCATATTTATCATTACAAATTACATATTGGCTTGAATTTATTCGAATTAATAATTTATCTTCATTTTACAAAATAAATTACAAAAATAATTCGAATTTTTTTTTATTCTAACTAAAACTGTGTTATTAATCGTGTAATAATAATAAAAATCTGTACAAAAAATATTTGCAATAAATACTTTGACATTGACTTGGAAATAATAAAAATGTTAAAAAGGATTAACTTGTTTTTCAAATTTGATATTTACATAAATCTGTTTTTATATAATGAACATTGTAGGTTTTAAATGTTTACTGTAACTTAAAACTAACTTAAAAATAATAATTATGTACAATTTTCGTTATAAAAATAACTACATTTTAATGTATAATTAAAATACATACTTACATTTTTTATTTAAAATATTAGATGTGACTGTAACGGTTTTAAAGACGCCATTATTTTATAAATATACAGACAAAGATTAAAAAGTTCGGATAAAATTTACTAATAAACTAAATAAATTAATTTACATAATTATAACGCAAACTGTGTTGGTAAGCGTATAACTCAGTAACAATTTTGCCAATTCTTTTTTGGTTTTGTTTGTTATTATTAGGAAAAAGTTCTTATGAAAGAAAATATTAAAAAAGTAGAGAGGAAATTAGAAAAAAGTGACGCTTTCGTTGTTAACGAGATAGTTCGACCCGTGCGAAGTGGGGGCGTGCCGCTAGTTGTTAAGGTATATTTAAAGTTATTATATAAAAAAAAATTCTAAATGTAATTTTTCCAAACTTTTCAAAAACCGTGTCCGTATAAAAAGATTTACAGCAAAAATACTTAACAAGACTGCAATATTAAAAGCAGAAATACCGAGGACACGGTACTATAATTAAATGCAAAAATGGCTTCACATATGTACAACCAAAAATCAAAAAGTCAGTCATGCTAACATTCAACCTAGCCTAGCTTAACCTAGCTTAAATCTAAAGAGGATCAGTAGAAATCGTACTGTCCCCTGCCAAAATACACATAATCTGAACACCATTTCCTGGCTTGAAGGTCGGTGGAACAGCAGGCAGGATACGCCAGTTTGGACTTGGTTAGTTTGGCACACCTCTGACAAAGATCCAGGAGTTCATCCTGAAATAAGAAAAGTATACTTAAGTAAATAGTCACTGTCTTTGTAATGACTGATCATTGGCGCAATGGCTGGGCATCTGGCTCCTGTGCAACGTGTCGTAGGTTCGGTTTCCGCACGGAGCAACTGTTTGTGTGATTTACAAATTATTGTTTCGGGTCTGGGTGTCTTGTGTATGGGATGGGCAGAGTCTACTTGCGACCACGACCTGTGCAACCAGGTCCAAACGTCAAGCCTTTCAAGGTATTTAAATAATAACTTTTCGCGTAGGTTTAATAATATGTCGTGTATGTGAATTTGTATGTTTGTAAACGCACCCACAACAGGATCTCAGTATAGGCGCGACGTATTTAAAAATAATACATTAACATCAGCTGGAGGATTTCCACTATGTAAAAAGGGGGATTGTAGGTAAGTACCATTATTTACATGTTAATTAGCTGATTAGCTCATAGTTAGATAAATGGCTGTAGTGTTAGGTCATAGTTAATTTCTAGCGATACGTCTCGCAAAGCGTCTAGCTTCACTGACAAACAAATTGGCAAACTATTATACTTTTTTGAAGTTAAGTACTCTTTTAGAGTACAGTACATACTTACTATGATACTTTTTTTAAGTTTAGTACTTTTTTAAAGTACAAACATTTAAAATTAATGTTTTTATTTTAGAATCTCAAACTAAAGTTGCATATAACACTCTACATTTTTATACAAAAACACAGAATTTATAGTCTTCCACGATGATTAATATAAACAAAAAAGTAGCGAATATAATGTTTTTTTTTTAAGAAAATTGTACCAACACACTTCTAAGACTTAAACGACAAAATATACCTAAACAGTGGATAAAAATTAACCCAATTTCTTGTCAGTTATGTACAAACGCAAAATTATCTCTCCATTAGACTAAAAACATTGATAAAATCTAAAGTAAATATGACATTTGTCCATCCATATAAAAATTGTCGCCAATCAGATAACGCGAAGACCTTTTTTCTGACCCATGACCAACGTGATGGCGATTCGGAATTGTTTTCTTTTATATTTCCTCGTGTCAAGTGCATATTTATATAACGGATATATTATATAATATATGTATATCTGATATCTTATGTTTTCATATAAAATATTTCGTCGAGTTGAAGGATGAAAATGAGTGATATTGTGTTTAATTCTTCAATAGTAAAACTATATTTTTAATTCGTCAGCCAGTCTATAAAACATAGTGGTTATAACGAAGAATATTTGTATGAAAAAAAAAATGTTATAATATGACATGTAAGGCTTCTCAAGTATGAGGGTACGAATTCAAAATCTGGCAAGTACCAATGTGACTTTTTCCAAGTTATATGTACTTTTTATGTTTGTTTAGATACCAGTAAATATATTTGGTGATTAATGCTCTATCCGTATGAGAAGAAGCCTTTGCTCAGTAGTGAGCACTTATAGGCTGGTGTTGTGATGTCACAATTAACTTATAAACATAACTATAATTTAATTTATTGTTAAATGGCATTAGGAATAAGATTTTGATATAAACAATACCACTTTGATAATTTACTTAAGAATTAATTACTCGTATTTGTAGCTACTTTTTGCCATTCATTCATTTCTAGATCAGTAATTATTTAAAAAGCAACTTACATCTGTATGACATTCAGCAGATTCTGTGAAAACACCACTTCCAGGAGCCAGCCATGGGGGTCGTGCATTCGATTCCCGAACTAGGATTGCCAGGCATAAGATAAGCAGGATGCAGACTGTTGAGATTTTCTGTAACAATAACATTCAGTATTTAGAAATTGGTCAGGGATAGTATTTTTCTATTTATTTCTTATATGATTTAGGAAAACAAAAAAATAATAAATAGATGAAATAAAATATCATATGCAAGGAATGGTCCCTTTCTAATATCATCCAAGAAGATAGAACATAACAAGAAGAAACAAAATAAAATCATCATCGAACATAAATATCTAATATTTAGATATAGGTAAGTATATATTTCAAAACTTAAATCTTCGATAACCAAATTAATAATAGACACTATTTACTTAAAGAAATTCAAACTAAATTCCTCACTTTATACTCAAGTCATTCCAAAGCAAAACAAAAGCATACTACAGAAAACAAAACAAAAATAAATAAACAAAAAAATTACAAAAGTCTTACAACACAATACCATACGATAACCCAGCTAATGGGGTCCTCTATGTCGTAACCAAACAATAAGCTTATCTAAAACAATAAATTATTACAATCAAATAATAAACAATAAATAATTATATTTTGATAAAAAGCTACTTGTTAAAATAGGGCATGAGTGTTTATTTAGACAAATATAGGTTACATTTGACACACGATGGGTCGGGTGACGTAATTACTACTATAAAGTATATTATGACCATATGACCTGGTTCGTACCAGGACAAAAAGCGGGTCAAGAAAATACATATTTTGTAATAAACAGGTCATTGTGTAATTATTGGGGAGATTTTTTTGAGGTTGCGATTGGGATTTGTGAAATTTAAGGATAAAGTAGCGACTTTTACAATATCAGAACCCTATTTATGCTAAAACATTTTTTGGTCTTCATCATCATCAGCCTGTAGTCGTCTACTGCTGGAAATAGGCCTCCCCAATTGCACGCCACTGAGCTCGATGTTCAGCTCTTCTCATCCAACCACTGCCAGCCACCCTGCGGATGTCGTCAGTCCACCTAGCTGGAGGGCGCCCTAGTTTGCCTAGATTTTGGTCTTGTGCAAGGAAATTTAATTAATGTTTGATTTAGTCGCCTTATTTTGTCTTTATAGGTAATTATTTCTATTAAATGCCTTCCTGTCAACTCTACATAAAATGTATATGTAGGTAGTTAGGTATATGTATTAACTACTCGAATAAAAAAATTGATTTGTAAGATATGAGAGTAATGTTGTGGTGGCCCAGAGGTTAATGCGCTCGCTTCTCATGCATCAGGGTGTGGGTTCGTAACCTGGAAAGTACCAATGTGACTTTTTCCGAGTTATATGTACTTTCTGTGATTATTAAGACACCACTGACAAACGATGAAGGTAAACATCGTGAGGAAACCTGGACTTATAATTTCTAGTTATAAGTTTGAAATCGCGAACCCGCATTGAGCAAGCGTGGTGATTAATGCTCTAACCTTCTCCGTATGAGAAGAGGCCTTTGCTCAGCAGTGGGCTCTTATAGGCTGATGATGAAGATATGAGTCATTAATTATTTTATGTATCAAAATAAGAAAATAGATGAAGGCAAAAGAGTAATGAATTACCTGACGGTAAGCAATCAGCGACGTCTATGGACATCCGTAACACCAACACACAGTTACGAATGCGTTTCTGGTCTTTTGGGGATTAAGATTTCGGAGATTTAGAGATCGGAGAGGAGAAGAAAGACTGGGAAGAAACACAACGCTATGGTGGTTTCAAGCTGGTTTTCTGAGAGCCCGTGGTGTTTGGTTGAGCCGACCTATTCGTGCCGAAGCTTGGCTAGGCTCGCCCTGGGCTGATTATATTGGTTTTCATTCATTCAACGACTATTATTTGAATGGTAGAATTTTCTAAAAGCTGACGTACAATAAAGTGTATTCAATTGTCTTCAACAAGGTCAAAAATAAATTAATTCGAAGTTTCAACACAATAAATTATTGAAAAGTACTATAATTTTATTCATCGATCTGTCTGCTGGTACACACAATTTTAAATTAAATTGAAAAAAAATAAGGTATTTGACGCAAAAATACTATTAGAGTATTAGCAGTTGGAGTTACATAAAAATATCGTTATAGAAAAGTATCGTTTTTGAATTTAGATAAACGTATCGAATTTGACTAGTTGGAAACTACCATATTTTAGAAATGACATTAATCAAAAAATCATCATCAGAAACATATTTCCACACCCTTAATCACAAATAGTAAACAAGTTTACTATAAACACAAACAGTAGTACAATAGTAACCTTATTTTTAGTCATAAATCGTGATAAGGAGACAAGTTGAGGTCCATTGCTGATTAGGCACGTACTTTTAGGGAGATGTAACCCAGTTAGCCAGAGTACTATAAGTACCATTTTGTTATTGTCAATTTCAATCGCAAAGTGTTACAAGGAAAATAAACATGGATAATTTTTGTGATGTCATTCGATAGTATTTGGTAGACAGTATTGGCTTTTTTTGGAAGATTGCTTTTTCCTAGTCGTTTTAGGTGATTTGAGGTGCGGATTGGTTAATACACAAGATTAACTAGTACCTTTTAATGATATAGAATATAAAGAAAATAATGAAATTGCATGGTAAGTAACTATATTAAATTTATTCAAAATAACGACGTACTTACGTGAATTAATTGAGAAAACTCTATTAGTTTAATAGGAATGAAAATTGAAGTTTTCCATCTTTTAACGCTTTTCTAAAATACAATCAATCATCAACCAATATTAATTATTTAGTTGTTAGTCCAGCCGTTTTTGAGTTTGAGCGGGACTAACAAATAGCAATTCGTTTTTGGTTTCTTTGTCGCAGCCATATAGTTTAATTAGCCATCCACTCACGCGAATGGCTTGAATGTCTAGATGTTTGATTTAAAAGATGTTTAGCTATTTTGTTAGGGGAAAATCATCCGATGACTTCTCTCCCCCAAGAAAAGGCAAGAGTGAGTATCAGGCTCTTACTGACTTAAAACACCCTGTCCCTTCTCCTGCTTTAAGCCGAGTCCGCTGTAGCTCTAGCCCCGCAACCCCGGCTGATCATGACCCTATAGGGCCCCGCCTTTTTCTTATTCAGTCTTTAAAATGAAATGTGGTTTGTTATAGAAAACCGAGTTTCTACCAGAATTGTAGATAAGGTTTGATTAGGAAAAGGAATCTGTATGTGAAACTGATTTAAAAGAGTAACCATGGAGTTTCTTGCTCGTTCTTCTCCATCGGAATCTACACTTTGGAACGAGCTAATAGCTTCACTAAGAGGACTGACGGACAGACTGACACTATATCTTCAAAATTTTGTTTGACGTTCAAAAGTGCCTGTAAGGGTCTAATTGGAATAAATGACTTTTGACTTTTGACTTTTGAAGGTTAGGTTACGAAATCGAAGCGCCATCGACAAATAAATAGCTACATAGCTACTCAAATTGTACTGCGATAAAAGAACTAGGAACGGCTATTTTAACCAGTTTGATATGACATATAAAATATTTAAAGCGCCAATTATTTATGTATTAAGTATATACATCTACGCTTCAGACAATTTTAAATTATATAATATTATATAAACACCAATTAATACATAATAAATCACGTTTTAAGCCACCAAACTTCACCCAATTATTTAAAGAACAAAACGTGATCGATATCTATATAAAAATAGTCAATATATATATGTAGGTCCATATACTTATAATGAATGAGTTAATAATTAAAAATAAGAATCCGATTAGCCAGGTCAATTGGGGTCTATTAATTTATTTTATCTGTTCACGACAATTCTTGCTAATTAAAGGTAAAAAAACAGTTGATGTTACTTTTGCGCAGTTAATTTTATACTTATAAGTACAACAACAACTAGTGGTTGGAAAATTGGTTGGGGGGACCAATCAATAAATTTCCGAATCCCTAATCTAAAAAAGTCAGGAAACGCATTCGTAACTGCATGTTGGTGTTACGGTTGTCCATGGACGTCGCTGATTGCTTCATCATCATCATCATCATCATCAGCCTGCTGTCGTCCACTGCTGGACATAGGCCTCCCCAATTTCACGCCACTGAGCTCACGCTGATTGCTTACTGTCAGGTAATTGGTGACCTCATTTGCCACCTTATTAATTTATACTTATAAGTACCTATATCTAATGGCGTGAACCAACCAAAGCGTTGCGTTTCGCCGTGTGAGAAAGGTTACCATATCATCATCATCGGCCCGTAAGTGCCCACTGCTGAGCAAAGGCCTCTTCTCACACGGAGATGGCTAGAGCATTAATCACCACGCCTGCTCAATGTGGGTTGGCGATTTCATACTTCTAATTAGAAACTGTAAGTCCAGGTTTCCTCACGATTAGTCACGATGTCTACCTTCACTGTTTGTCAGTGGTGTCTAAATAATCATAGAAAGTACATATAACTCGGAAAAAGTCACGTTGGTACTTGCCAGGTTTCGAACCTACACCCTCATGCTATACTAGGTTATCATAGTCCCTCCCCAATCCTTAACTCTCCAAAAACCCTTACACCAAAAAGGTCGCCAACGCAATCGTTAATCCTCCATTGTTGCAGGAGACCATGGGTGGAACTGATTGCTTACCATCAGGTTATGCATATACATATTTGCCGTCCTATCACATACAATTTATATTTTAAATGTGGGAGAGCCAAGCTTCGGCAGGAATGAGTCAGTTTGACCGGAGCGCAACCACGGCCTCACAGAATACCGGCCTGAAACAACCACAGCGTTGTGTTTTGCCGTGTGAATGAGGTTACCGAGGGCCCAATCCCTTCCCCTCCCCTATTCCTTCCAAATCTTATCCCCAAAAGGTCGCCAACAATGATGTATAAAACTATAGATACGTTGTCCGCGCTCTAAAATGACAACATGAAATGAAGGCAATTGACAACATCGCGCTTAGTTACGCACCAACCTGCCGCTCGACGCTACGTTTGTTTTTAATTTATATCGTGTGTGTAAACCTGTGCGAAACAAAAAGAAAGCATGCCGTCGTGTGTGTTCAGACGATGTACAAATTATACTCCAAAAGTTAA